TGGTATAGGGCAGGAGCCAGGTATAGCTCATCTTTGAAAAATGGAATGACCACATTTGTATTCAGATGTAGGAATATCCTCTCAAGTTTCCCCAGTTTTTATTTGAATTGAAGAAACTCAAGTTAACACATTTTGTCTGTGCATTTGTGTGTGTGATCTTCAGTAGTGTGGACTTGTTGGTGGCAGTAGAAGTTGTTCCCCTAATCTAGAGAGACTTTTTCATTGTTCTTCTCATCCTCACTTCAATGTTAAGGGTTGAGAAAAAGCCTCCAGGATCAAGATTACCAGCCAAAAAATCAGGGGATATTTTAGGAAGAGGTGTCCAGGGTATAGGGGTACAGTATGGAAGATAAACAGAAAGGTTTGTGTGGAAGAGAAAGGCTTATTTCAAGAGCTGGGATTTGAAAGGGAAACTTTGGGGATTCTAAGCAGAAATGAATCAGGTCAGACCCCTTCTCCTTTATGTTTATCATGTTGCATGACTTCCTGATGTGTAGTTCCCTCTATACAACCTATGCAGAAAAGACCAGGCACAAAAATGGAGGTAAAGAAAACTCAAGTGTAAGGAGTGAGTGTGTCATAATTCCTGATTCCATATTCTGAGAACAAGGATAAAGAACAGAATAAAAGGAGTGCTGAGATAGGTCAGAGAATACACACAGCTATGTGCAATTCACACACTGATGGAGAGGCAAGAAGACATGTCAACACATATTATTACACCCATACATGTAACATTGATGTGGGGTTAACCACACATGTGATACAGATGTACATGTGCACACATGTATACACACATGCATTAAAGCACAGGTGGAAAACACAAGGCCCTCAGTCTGAATCATGCCCTCCATCTTGTTTTATCTCGCCTGGCACCTTGTTTCTACCTGGTGACAGTACAGAGCTCTTACTTAACTGTTAAGGAGTAGTTACATTTATACAGTCCTAAAATTAAATTCAGCTCTTTGAAGGAAACTGCAAGACTGGTGTGGCCCCCCTCCCAAGTGAAAGTGAATTTGGCACCCCTGGATTAAAGTCATGATGAGGAATCAAGCTCAGAGAGATGATTCCTAGGTAGTGGCTTTTAGATATTGTGATAGGTTCTCTGGACTAAGTAAGGTTTCTCTCCACCTTTCTCACCACCACCCTGATCTCTTAAGCCAATAGATTTCAGAGACAAAAGGCACATAAGAAGGTAGAACAGTGAAGACAGGGAGGAGATATCACGCTCTGAGCTCATCTTTACTTCTCTGCTTTGCTTTCTCCAGTTTCTATTTTTCTTTCATTTGTTCTCCATAGCAATTTCTCTCCTTCCCTTACCTTCTAAGCTATCTCCTACAGTTTTTTAGGTTTAGCTGCTATCTTCATACTCTTGTCTTCTTTCTCTTCCCCTGTGGAAGAGATGGCAGGAACCCCACACCTCTGGAGAATACCTGTGTGGCCAGAGGATGTTTTTACATTATTGACTTTCTCCTCAAGCCAGCCAGTTAAACAGATGCTACCAAGACAATCTGAATGAAATCTCTCTTTCACCATTTTCCTCCCCCTTCTCTATACCCTCAGATAAAATAAGAAACCACCAGCTTCGTGAAAGCAATGTAGACTTTAATTCAAGTTGGCAGGTGGAGGAGAACTAAGATTTTCCTTCAAGGGTGTCCAGATGAGAGGGCTGTCTTGCTGAGACAGACAGGGAAGGCATGGAAGTATGAGTGGCCCGGTGGCAGAACAGGGCCAGGAGAAAAGGTGTAGCCACACAGTGCAGTATTGCCAAGGCTTCTGCCAGGTCCAACAGCATGTCCAGGGCCTGCTGGGCTGAACATGATGCTAATACCAAAAACTTGGACCTCACTAGGGTGTCCAATCCCTGAAGCACTCCATGAGGCCACCAGAAAATGAACCAGACCCATAGGATATCAATCCAGGGACATGGCACCCTGTCTAATACCTTTTTCATGCTCTTGGCTCCCAATAAACCCAGTGGCAGCAGGAAAAAGATGGCAAAACAAGCAGCAGCGTGCATAAACTGCAAAATGTCCTGGCTGAATGTCTGAGTGCAGAGTCCATTGGAAGTGTCACTGGTCAGAGTGATTGGCAGCCCCAGTAGGATAGCCACTCCCCAAAGTCCCAGAGTGAGCCCCAGGGTGAGGCCTGGGACATGGTTTGTATCCAATATGGGATCCAGGCAGGCATGGCAGCCTAACAGCAAAGCTTGGGCAAAGGCTGAACCATACCAGACCAAATGGGCCAGGTGGCACAGGTGGGTGTCATGGACACCACTTAGCCCTGGGGCCAGGATGGGCACTGAGATGCTGAAGAGGGCACTGCCCACAGCTAACTGTACAAGGATTTTCCAGCCAGGACACAGCTGCAAGTAAAATAGAGGTCTGAGAAAAGCAAAAAGGACAGCTGTACTAGCTAGGATGCCCAGGACACTGGTGAGGATGTAGAAAGGCAGTGAGGACTCATCCAGCAGTTTACAGGAGCGGCAGGGGGCAGCTGCTTCCAGTCCAGTGTAGTTATAGTCACCAGGTCCGTAGGAATTATTCCAATCAGTCAAAAACTCATCTTCAAAGTTAAAATTACTCGAGTTGTCACCAGTGAAGGAGGAGGAGTCCACCTGGAGGATATCCCCAGAGGGGACAATCAGAGCATTCAGTTACTTCACTGAAGAGTCTCTGGGGAACTAAAGGGAAAGGGAAAGGGAGGACAGAGGGGAACCTGGGGCTGGAGGAGTTTGGTGCAGTGGGGATGATGGTAAGAGACAACACAGTTGAGACTCAGGAGTCTGTGGAGAAGCAGGGTCATGGAAGAGCAAGGGAAATGCAGTGGGGAAGACTGGAGAGCAGGGGAAAGTTGGAGGGAGGGTAACCAGGGGCCTGGATGGAACTAACTGAAAGGCACATGAGGAGGAAAATAATGGGGGCCTAGGAGACTGTGGTAAGAAGGAGAGAGGGAAAAAAGGAAGGGATAAGAGATGAGGATGAAAGGAAAGATGTATAAAGGCAGAGGGGTAGTAAGTGCAGAGGTGGGGGTTGTGGGTCCCTCCCCACACTCACCCGTTGCAGACAGTTCCCCATGACACTTCTGGGCTCAAGGCAGGCAGAGAGAAGGACTGGGACAGTTTTATCACCTGCTGTGGTTCCAAGATAAGTGCCAGAGACTAGTGAAGACCATCAGTTATGAGCAGGGCCATGGGGTGGCATGGGGAGGGGCACATTCAGGAAGTCTTTACCCCACACCCACTGCCTGCTTAAGCTTCAGTCCACATAAGCCATTGGCCTAAAGCTTCCTGTTTTGAGGTTAGATTCCACTGGTGGGGACATGCATTCCGGAAAGGAAAAAGGTGGGGACCAGAAAATGGGTATTTTCCCAAGAGTGGAAAGGGAGGCTAGAAGCCAAGGGGCTTCCCAGCAAGGATTTTAAGCACAAGGAAAGGTTGGGCCAGGGACGAAGTGTGAGACAAAGATAAGGGGCATGTTGGGAAGTTGGAGGGAAAGGCAGTTAATTCTCACTGTTCATCTATCTCCTTGAACTTCAGCCAATGAAAGATAGTTCAAAAGTCAAGTGTTTATAGGAGGGACTATTGGTGGCACTATGGCTGGGTCCATGAGATGCTGACAAGCTGAGTAGAATGTGGGTGGGTGTTCTCTATATATTAGTCTGGGTGTAAGAAGGGCCTTATTTATCTGTGTGTGGCTGTGTGCTATGTACTGTGTGCAAATATCTAAGGCATATATCTGGGTATGACTCTGGATTTTTCAGTGTAAGAGGAGGGAGAATTTTTTCAGTGTATGAAGTAGCTGCATAATGAAGCTACGTCAGGGACCAACTAGGCATTTGGTCTCATCATCTTTGGGTGTAGTCTGGCAAGCAGACTTTCATAGCAATGCATCTTTCATAGCAAGCAGAACACATGGTCAGGCAAGTTAAAGCAGGCTCTGGGGGACAATGGGACAACATATTCTCAAATGGGCCTGTTGACTCTGGGGTAATCTCTATTCATGTGGGGAATGCAAAGGCTTTAGAACTGCTGCATTGGCCTGGCATCTCAGCACTGTGTAAAGTTCCTTTTGTGGGGAGAGCTTCTACCTCTAACTGGCTGACAGAAAGGGTATGTACCCTGTAGGTAGGTGGATCCCCTAAGCGGACATGGTGACTCTTTGGTAGCCCCTTTCTCCCCAGTTGCTTTCCCATGACCTCTGCTGATTCACCCTCTCTTTACCCCAAAATTTCCTGTTAAGGAGACTTAGGCTGGACATTTGGAAAGGGTGAGTCATGGAGTGTCCAAGTCAGAAAGGTGAGATAGAGAGGGCTGCTTTGGAACACTGTTTCATTTATCTAAAAAAGCATGTGATACTTTAACTCCAATTCTTCCAAGCAGCTTCTTCCCATTCACAAAGGGGTGCCTAGATGTGGATAGGAAAGCCATGTTGCAAAAGAATGTGGATCTTACAAAGACCATCCCCTTTTCTCCCAAGATGCTAGCTCCAGTTTCAGATACAACATGAGGGGGTTGGAGAATGATTTGGTGGGGTCTGTTGAAACTGTCCTGGAATGATGTTAGCAGCATCTTCACCTTCATCTCCACCTTCTCCAGTCCTGCCTGATGGAAGGCAGTGGGAGCAGCCAGATGTCCCATCCCAAATACTCTCTGGAAAGGAAGGGCCAAGCCAAAGGGAGTGAACACACTTCTCTCCCTTGGAGAGTTATATTGTTTCCAAACAGAGTTGCCCTTGGGAGAGTGGCCTAGTGAGGCACACACCACCCCCAAAAGTACCAGGCGTAGGGGATTCCAGCAAAGCAGCCCTTATAACGTATCCTCACAGGAGCAAGAGCAGCAAGAAGGCAGCCCAGCGACATGGTGATCCAGATATATTGAGGGTGCCCCTCTGAGATTAGCATAGGAGAGTTAGAAAGGTTATAAAGATACACCATCCCTTCCCTACTCCTTTCCCCACACAACCCCCCACCCATAAACAGACACACACAGCACAAGGGCCCTCTTCCCCCACCCCCAGTACAAATATGGCTTCTGTGTAATATGAACAGAGTGATTCAGCTCAAAGACGTAAAGTTACTTTCCTCAAAGTGGGTGCAAGGATATAGGGAAACCAATAGGTCTGGGGCCCTAGGGTGCCTTGCTGCTTTAAGAGGAGGGAGCCTTGGTTTAGAGGGGTACTGCCTGTGGTGCCCAGGAATCTAGCCAGATACTAGAAGATCCACAACAGTATTACCTGAATTGAAGGGGTGGACAGAGCTGCTGAATGCAGCTGCCCCCATTTTGGATGCCCTTGGGTTGTTATAACAGGGAAGACATGCTGGAGGAGAGTGACAGTGGTGACAAGGGGCATCCTGGGTGTAAAAGAGGGTAGCTGGCTACACAGAGAGTGAGCAAGTGAGCAACTCATCTCCATGGCAGCCAGCTCAGGCCAGGAAGGAAGACAGAAAATCAAAAGGAGGGGTGGAGATGGAAAGGAGAGAGGAAGTTTCACTCCAGCTATCCTCAGCTCACTGGGTACATACTTCAGGGAAAAAGTGACAGCAGTTATTCCAGGGTCAGGGCCAGGGAGAGGCCTGAGGGGTGCATAGTGAAGACTGTGGCACTGACTCCATAGCTCCAAGAAGGGAGATTGAGGCAGAGGTTCAATGCTCTGTATTTTAGAGCAAGACTATATGGACAACTAAATACAAACATATCCTGGGACTGTTTTCTCCATGACAGATGGGCACTGGAGGTGGCATGGAAAATGCTGGGATAGAGCAACCTCCCAGGGTAGTACCAAGCTGCCTAGGAATCCTCTGCTCCCAAGGTTCACCTTTACATGTTCCACAGCTCACCTACCTGCCCAGGACATACCTCACTGCCTCTCACACACAGATGTGCACACATGCACACAGGCACACAGAGTTCACATTATTTTCTTCATTTAGGCAGGAAAGAGCTCAGTGTAGTGAAGTTTGTTTTAGTATTTTTGTGGTTATGTATCCCTGGTTGCTGGGGAAGGGAGGAAGTACTAAGGGGTGGCTTAGGACAGGGGCGTCAAACTCATTTTCACCAGGGAACACATCAGCTTCAAGGTTGCTTATTATAGGGACTGTATAAATGTTAACTACTCCTCCACAGTTAAGCAAGAGCTTGGTGCTGCTGCTGGTATAAACAAGGTGCCAAGCTGGATAAAACAAGGCAGAGGGCAGGATTCTGCCTGAGGGCCTTGTGTTTGCCACCTGTAACTTAGGAATTAGGAGGGGTTGGAGGATTTGGTGAATAATGCCGTAAGAGGAGTAGCTGCCAAGCAACAACAGTCCAGGGGCTGGGTGAGAGTGAGGGCCCCTGGGCAGAGAAGCAGATGCAGTTGGACTTGGAGCAGTGTTTTCCCTATAGTTCCTGGAGCAAGAAGGGGCAGCCTTGCCCTTCTATCCCTCAAGGTCAGTCCTGTGTAAAGGCCCTGCTTTATATATCATGAGGATAAGGGTATATGGGACCATCTCTGCCATCATTCTTCTCCAAATCTACCCCTCTGGCAGGGATCCACATCTTCCCCACGTGAAACCCCTGCATCTCTGTGTGACTGCATGCCATTTTCAGGTCACATCTCCTCAGGGATCCCACTGAAGTGGAACAGGGATATCCGAGAGGCACCTGTGTCTCTGTCCACAATTCCAGGTATGTGACAATCAGCAGAAGAAAGGCCAGCTCCTGCTCCCAACTTCTCCATTCCCAGAGAAGTCCAGGAAGCTGCTCTGTTGTACAGGATAGATGTTTGGTGAGATCCCCTACTAAACCAGCCCTGCTCCTTTTCTGTCCTTACCCCTCCACCCTCATTCTCCTCTTAAAGCTCCAGGTTTTTTTGTTGTTTTTTTTTTTGCTTTCTTCACCCCAGGGTCCCTGTGCCTCCAGCCTGAAGAAAACTTTGATTTGGGATTGATACAAAAATAATAATAACCCAAACTCAAAAAAGCCACAGAAGGGGCTGAGGGCAACCCTTCTTCCCTGCCCGCCGTCCTCCCTCCCCATTCCAAACCTAGTACAAAACCGCACCCAAAGCAGATATTCTGTACAAGGGGTTTGGGGGGGGGGAACTGGGGAGCAAGCAGGAGGTGTGGCCCTGGGGTTGCTCTGTACAAGTCCAAGTTGATTATGGCTCCAGCAGTCCCCATTGGGTCCCTGGAGGGGTGCAGGAAGTGGGTAAGCACCCTAGATGAAATATTCCTTCTTGTCGTCCCCGCCTGACTGCCCGCCTTCTGCGTTGATGATGGCTGTGTCCGCATCTGGGGCATCGTCAGAGCCTTTAGCCTCATGTGTCAGGTAGGTTCCTAGAGAGGAACAGAGGCTCCTCTTCTCAGGAGCAGTTTCCTTTGAATCTCCCCTTGCCCACTTTCCCACCCACCCATTCATACCTTGCTCCTGAATTTTTCTCCTGTTTAGAGCTTTCTTCCTCCTCACCTGATCTAACTTGCATTTTACTGCAACATCACTCACCTGACCATACCCCTATGAATGAATGAATTCTGCCTTTAATTAGCGAATCTCATCAATGATACAGTAAAAAATAAGTGTGTGTATGTGCCTGTATGTGCATCTGTGTGCCTGTGTGTTTGCGTGTCTGTGCGTCTATGTGTATGTGCATATATGTGCATCTGTATGTAGGTGTGCATGTATGTATCTGTACATGTGCATGTGCGTGTAAGGTGGTGCTAGGGAAACTGCCATGTCATCTCCATGTGCAATGTAGCCATGAGCTGGCTAGCACTTGATCAGTAGGTGTAGTCTGGCCACAGCTAAAAGTCATAGCAAAGGGGGGCATATGAGAGGAAGGCATGTAAAGAGATGGTACAAAGATGTCATGCATATAGGAGAAAAGAGAAAAGAAGAAGATATTGTGGAGACTAAGGGCAAGGAAATTAAAGGCCAAGGGAAATGAAGCAAAACATAAAGGAAGAAAGTGTATAAAGAAATGAGAAGAAGATGCAGAGTTTCTCAGTTCTCTGCTTATAGCAGAATATCCTTGTGGCAGAGCAGCATGGGAGCAGTGGCTTACTGAGTGGGATGGTTTGATTTAACTGGATGATCAACAAGTGGTGAGGCTTTCAGGAGGGACTGGTGGTGCTCCATTATTACAGGATTGCCTGCATTCTTCTTTCTCAAACACTCATAGTGGCTGACTGGGTCTCCAAAGGTCATTCCTGCAGCCAGCTCCTACCTATCTGCCCCTGACCCATCTTCCCTACCCGCAGCCAAGTTCTCCTGATACTACCTTCACATATCTGACCTTTGTGCCGAATCAGGTAGTGGCCGAGGAAGATGAGCAGGATGAGAAGCAGAAAGACAATGAAAGCCACAATCCCACCAATGATGGCGTGGTAGGTGCTGGAAGACGAAGGCACCGGACTGTGGTCTAGAGGGAAGGGTCAGTGCATACAGTCAGATCTGGGAAAAACCCTAATATTATAGCATTTCTAACCTGGTCACAGTAATCTTACACAGCAGAGAAAGTAGACTAAAATTGGGACAATGGAGCAGCATCATTAAGCAAAGGGGATATGTCTTATTTTGTACTCAATTTTCTTACACAATGTAAGAAACATAGTAATGTTTATACAAAAGTTATTGTATTAGTTGAGTAAATACATAAATATCCTCCCCTGTACCTCTTTTAGTTGAGTTTGGCGCTAAAGTTTGGCACTAAAGTTTGATCTTAGCCAAGTCAAAGATCATTGCTTTAATGTTTAAATCATCTTTTGAGATTTCTCTCTTGCTCTCTCTCTTCCTCCCTGTCAGTCTCTTCCTCTGTCTCTATATTTATTTCTTCTAATTTCTGGATTATCAGAGTACTCCTTCCCTATCCCCCAAGCTCTCTTACTCTCCCATTAACTTGATATTCCGAGATGGTTTCTCTACAAGACCTTCTCCACCTTTCAACTCATTGCCCTGAGATCAGATAGGCAAGGAGCAGTAAAAAATTGGGTTCAAGAATCAGGTACTTAAACAACACCTTACAAGCTATGGTAGACTGTGACCTTCTGTATAAAGAACAGTGTTCCTTCTTGGCAGAGGAGTTTAAAGTTCCAGCAAAACACAAGTCCTCTGGTAAGTCTCATCAGGGGGTCTGCAACTGCATTTTTATTTCCCACCATCCAAACATTTGTGGTAAGTTGAATATTTTCTTCAAGGAAGTCCAACCATGCTGCCTCCAATGATGACCAATGTCTCTGCCAGCACAGATGGGCTAGGCATGTTAACAACACTCCCAGCCACACAGCAGCATCTCAAATACCTGAGGAGACACTGCACAGGCCCAGGATACAGTGCTGTGTTCAAAATACTCACCATAGATATGACTCACCCACCTGTGGGAGAACTACTGTTTTTCCACAGACTCAGCTTGAGTCTTGATGCCTCACTGACTCATTATATATTTTGTCTTTCCTACTTTGTCTCCTCAGGCTTGATTAGGCCAGCTTTTCAGTCCCTTGTCTATCTATGCCTTATTCGAAAAGAAAACATTTATGCTCTGTTTTGAATGTTCTATTTGGAGGGTATGGAGAAGTTTGGCCCAGGGGATCCATGATTTGATTGGGGGTGTGGTACTATAAGTTGGAAGAAGGGGAATGAAGGTACCCACTGTCTTTCTCCTAGGGAGTATGTGAGACACAGTACACATTAAAAATAAATCCTGGCTAATTATTATTGAGACTAAGGAAATGGAAATTCCATAGAAAAACATAGGTTTCCATGGCCAACATGGTCTCTTGGGTCATCCACGACAGGCCTCTGTCTCTAGATGGAATACTGTTCAATTTCATTCCAGGCAGGTGAGAACCAATGCTGCTTAGGATATTCCAGAAAAATGCAGTAACCCATTCTACCACCAGGTGTCAGCACTGGAAGCAGTTCAGTCGAGAGGGACTGGCTTTCCTGCACAAAGCTGGATCAAAAAGAAGCAAACCACTGGGCACCAGAAATTTTTCACTGACAATCATCACCGCAGTTTGTCTAGAGAGATCTGGGGGCAGATACTCCATCTCAGGGCATTGTCCTTGCTTCAGGCAGCTAGCTGTTTGTGGTGCTGAGACAGTCCCCATAATGCAGAGGTCTGCCCTGGAGTCTGAATTACCCCATCCAGACAACCTCAGGTCTCTTATCCCTGGGAGGCCGATCAATGTTAGAACTACTGTTTTTCCACAGACTCAACTTGAGTCCAAATGCCTCACTGACTCCTTATTATATATTTTATCTTTCCTACTTTGTCTCCTCAGGCTTGATTAGGCCAGTTTTAATGGGCTTTTCACTCAAGGGAGCCTCTGATGTCCCCTTGACAACTGTATTTCCCTATTCTGAGGAAAGGTTTATAAGACTTTTTGGCATGACCCCATTGCCACTGGGATCTTCAAAAAAAAATCTCCTCTCACTGGAGAGGAGATTTGCCACTCTCCGTAAAGGGACTTCTGTTTTCAGCCTATCTCTTCTGAAATGGGGTTTTGTGGTCGTACCTTTGGGAAGAAATGCAGAGAAGAAGCATCATCTACTTCCTCTAGAAGATATGGCATCTGAGAAAAGATTCTGACTATTTCTCAGCATAGTAAAAACTTATCTCCATCCTGCTTGGACCCAGGTCTAAGGAAGGGAGACAATAGCAGCAGTATGCATCCAATACTAGTCATAAGAGAAGCAACTCTGAAAACAGCCTGTTGCAATGGGAAATGCATCTACACCCATACTTGAGAGGCTCTGGGCCCTCTATACACAGAATTGTTGTTCTTGCAGCCTGGTGAATGCAGGGGTTGGAGGATGGTATCACTTGAGTCTTTACTGCTAAACAAAGGCCAGTGGGAGTCCTCCATTCTATTGATCTTTCCTTACTGCACATTATAGAGTATATCTGAAGCTGAGTCTTCAGGCCCTCAATGGGAAGCTGCTGTCCTTCTAGTCTACTCCAAATCACCATCTAGGGGTGCTCTCAGGTGACAAAAAGATGAGAGTGTAACTTGGGCAGAGAAGGGGAGAAGAAGAATGCTGGAGGAAAACTGAGGTGGGCTCACCGTTCACATTGAGAGTATAGTAAGCCTTGTAGCTGCCCATGTTGCTGGTGGCTGTGCAGCCGTAGGTGCCGCTGTCACTCTTGTTGAGGAAGGGGAAGATCAGGGCGCTCTCCTGGATTATTTTCAGGGGTAATACACTGCCCTCCTTCTCCCATAGGTACTGCTGGGGCCTGTTGAGTGTTCAGAAGAGAGTAGATCATTCAGAAGAGAGTAGGTCAGAGCTAAAGGGAGAAAAATATAACTCAGAGCAGGGAAGTCAAGGACAGTTTGATGAAAACTCAAGAAGTTATATGAGTCAGAAACATTGAGCTTCTCAGAGGCAGGGGGAGGGTGACATTTTGGGGTTCAATTTGGAGAAAAGGAAAATTTTCTAACTGTATCTTACTGTAACTTGGTTCCTTATGGGAACCAGGGACTGGGCCCTCCCTATTACTGCTACTTTGCAGGAGAAACACAGATGAATATTGCTAGTGTCAGGGTAAATGAGAGGCTCAGTACACAGGAGATAGGAAGACATTATGTGAAGATAACAATCTGAGAGCATGGAGTTGTATTAGACACCAGAAAAGAAATCTTACACAGGATTGCCACGACCCTCACAGTGTAGCAACAGCTTCTGGCCCTCTCGAGGATGTGGAGGGTCTGGTCTAATCTTTGCTGTTGGTGTGTCTGTGGAGAAGGAAATTGTGTCAACATAAAAATTCCACACTGTTTAGAAGATTGCCTTGATTTCAAAATCACTCCATTAACATTACAACTTCCACCCCTAAATGCCTTAGGAATCCAAGAGACTATGAACAAATACTTTTTTTACCCCTACTTCTTGTCAGCAAAGACAGTTATTGGCATTAAATATTTGAAGGACTGGTACCTTCACCTTGTCCAGTGGGGTTCTGAACAATCTGTCCTTGGTAAGGACCTGAGAGATGTCTAAAAGAGAGCTGAGAAGGGGTATCACTGGTTCATCTGTGCCTAGAACACTACCTAGCACATAAATTGGACTTAGTACACATTTGTGACAGAACAAGTACACTTGAACTTGATCATGTATTGAGCTCACAACCTCTCAATTCTCTCTATTCTGTAAGGGAGCTTAAGCCAGCAGCAATGCTTAAACAAAAATATCATTTTTTAAGGGCAGCCCAAAAATGAAGGGTGAGCTTTGAAACAGCAAGAGATGGGGATCATATTTAGCTGCAAAAAGGCGCTGACACAATATAGATAGACTCTGCAAAGGAATAATGAAATCTGCCACTGACACCAAAGGGCTGCTAAGGAAGCTAGGTCCAGATGGCTGCAAGAACAATACAACTAGACTCTGGTTTAGAAAAACAGATAGACACTGAGCTTCCCCTAAGGATAGAACCAACCTTAACAACCAGTTAATGAACATGTTTCAGTCAAATAAAACAGGACAAAGAGAATCAAGCCAGGTAAAAGAATGGGTGTTTAGGGGCCCCACAGCCATAGAAACCTCTAGCATGGTGCCTCAAGTATAGATAGCATTTGGTGACTGACTACTTATCACAACTGCACCAAAAAGCTCCCTGGAGAGTAACTGCCAGATGGTCTGGTACCTAACAGAAATCTTTGGGACTCAGACTGGGGAGGGCCTTTCTTTGCCCTGGCTAGTGCCCAGACTTAGGGGAAGAAGCCCAAGGCCAGGGGCTTCACCCTCAGAACTAATTATCAGAGAAAAATTATAGGAATAGAAAATTATAGAACTCTGAAGTTTACAAACTAATTTCATAGCTTTTGTTCCATTTATACTAAAAAAATTCAATGAAGTAAGCAGGAGACACTAAGAAATTACATGCTCTGGTGAAAGTTAAGACAGCTAGTAAGTAGAGGCAGTGCGGCCAGAATCCAGGTTATTTGCTTTTAAATTGAGAGTCTGCTAAATGGAAAATGGTGGTACTCCAAACCTACCTCATGTTCAAGTCTCAGCAATAAGTTTAGCAATTGATTTAAATAGCTCTGAAGTCAGGCCTAAATTTCCACAGGAGAAAAGTGTTTTAATTATTTTAGAAAAATAACGAACCTTTAGATGAGTTAAAACAAAAAGTACATTATTTTTAAACTCTATTTTTTACCTTTGTACTCTATTTTCTTTCCCCCTTGGTTCCTCCACTAAAAAAAGTTCTTTTTTTAAAATTTCCAAATTTCCTCAAGTGAAGAGGGAGTTCTTTTTCCCTAAGCAAGGGATATTCCATAGTTGGATGAGGACCCTTGGAAGGGCTAGAAGTAGTAATCATAGTAGTAGCCATTTGGGGTCAGAATCCCAAGAAAAATCAAGAACTGTGGTGGACAGTAGAGAACTGTAGGAAAAGATCTGGGAATAATGATTGCCAAAGAGATTGTGTTTCCTACAACCTATATTTTCTTGAAACCATCATAAGCTAGATCAGAGGAAGCCTTAGTAATCCCCGTGTTCTGCTCTCATTTAGAAAATAAATACTCATTTAGAAAATAAATAATCAAGCTCGAGGAGGGTACAGGAATTTTCTTAGAATCACACAGCCAATAAGTGGTAGAGGGCAGACAACAGCCTGGGTCTTCTGACTCCTGATTTGCTATAGTTACAATTTATAAGTTAGTTGCATCATACTGGCTTACTCCAGGGGTAGGTAAATGAACCCATTGGATCAAATCCTGCCAGCTACATGGTTCAGTAAATAAAATTTTATTGAAATACAGCTATGTTTTTTTGTTTACATATTGTCTATGACTACTTTCCTGCAAAAACAGCAGAGGTAAAGTAGTTGAGATGGAAACCATACAACCTCTAAAGCCTAAAATGTTTGCTGACCTTTCACCTAGTCCTACTATTCTTGTCTCATTTTGTTTTTATCATGCACTTATCTGTGCCTGTTCCACATCTCATCTCACATCTGATTTGTCTTCACCCACAAGCCCATGACATACATAAAACTTCAATGCGTTGAGAAGTGGATCTCTCAGCTCCATTTAGAGATTCATGGTTGACAGAGCATATGATGTCTGCCCCATCATCCTCCCGGGTAACCTGGAATGTCACTGAGCTGCTCACAGTGAAGGTTTTGCCATTGGGATCTTCCCGTATTCGGGTTGGTTCTCCTAGAGTGCAAAAAAAGACACATACACACACACACACAGAGTGAGCCCTAACATACAGATATTGTGTGGGCCCCACGGTAGTCATAAAGATGGTGAGTTTCAACTTACACAAACTTAGAAAGTTACAAAATTGATATGTACACACACACAAGTGTGCACAGAATGTCATTCTGCTTTTTCCTTCTACAGCATGCCTTGGGTGTATCTACACATGTACCCCTCCTTCCCCACCTCGCCTCCCTCCAATACTACCTCCTCCTATAACTCCAAGGTAGGAGGAACTTACCATGAAGTTCTTGTTCACCCTTTTGCCAGGTGAGATTAGCTGCAGGTTTGCTCCCAGAAGATTGACAATTTAGGGTGGCTGTCTCCTTTTCCCGTAATGATGACTTGTAGCCAGTGATGATGGGCTTCTGAGGGATTCCTACCATGCATAGGGGATGGCCAGAATATGAAGAAGAGGCCATGAGGTTACACTTAGCTCTCTCTGCTGAGACAGCCTCTCATGGTGACTAGATATCTTGGTCCTACTTTGGTTATGATGGGCAAAAGACTAGATATTTTTTCTTTGATCTCATCCCTGAGAACAAGGAAGATAGATCCGAGGGGAGGAGGCTTGGAGTGGGGAGATGTACCACACTTGAAAACAAGTGGGTAGCCACAGAAATAGTGTGAAGCTCAGGGAAGCAAAGAAGGAAATTGAAATATATAATAAAATATAGGATGAGAGTATGTAAGCAACTGGGATACTCAACTTGGACATTATAATCATATATTGCATGCACTTCTAATGTTTCATTCATATAATCTTGGGAGATAGGTGGAACAAACATCATCATCCTTCTGTTACATGTTTGGAAATTTGGGCTCAGAGAGAGTAAGATATTTGTCCCAAAGCAAATGGTAAGCAGAGGAGAAGTAACTAGAAGTCAGTGCTCTTTTTATTTTGTTCCATTATAAAGGAAATATAGGCTGAACTTTTCCAAAAGGCTTGGGGTCTTTTCTGGCTCTAAGCTCTTTCAGGGACACACCTAGGGATATTTGTTTGCGCAGAAACATGCTGCAGTGACACTGGGGTTTGGAAGCCTCACCTAGCACAGTGATGAGGGACTTGGCAGTTCTCACAGGCATAGTGAAGATGGAGCAGGTGTACTCGCCCTCATCCGCCAGGGCCACATTGCTGATGCTGATGCTGAGCTCATGGGGTGTGGATTTAACCAGCTGAATCCGATTATCTCGAAGGGCTGGGGGGAATTGGGAGAATGGGAAGCAAGGCTTTTACTGGCACCTTTCATGTGTATCTTCATGTTTATCTTCAATCCCAAGTCAGCTTTTTGCAGGGAGCAGGTCCAGTGTGATTTGGGTCAGGGGGAAAATACTGTTCCTGGGTTTTAACAGTCTTTAGGTTATTCAGTCACTTTCCTGGGCCATTGGGCAGAGTAGCCTAAGAGATACCCAGAAAAGTAGGTTGGACCTCAAGAGTTTCCTTGTGAGACACATATGTGAACATTGATATCAGCTATCTCCTACTGCTCTCTTGTGGTAAAGTCACCCCAGGACCCTATAAGACCATGCATGGGTTAGGTCAGAGCTGTAATAATAAAGTTTCTCTGACACAAAGTGAGGAACCAGTGTCTTGTTGCCTCCTCAAATGGTCATACCTTCATGTGTCACAGCTTTTGCACTACAGTAACATTTCTTTTCAGTGCAACAATCCCCTTCCCCAACCTATGGTTCCCTCGAAGAGAGATAACACTACCTCTCTTTTCTCCAAAGTAAAGAGTCTGCTGAGCAGGGTTAGACCACTGCAGGGATGACTCCTCATGGTCTTTCACTTGGCACTTGAGCACCACGGTGCCACCAGCCACCACTGTCTCATCAGATGTCCAGGGCTGACTGTCTGCAGGAGTAAAATAGGGTTAGTTTCTGAACAAGTCCTAGCCCCTCCACCCATTTCTAGGCCAAAGTCCACCTCATCTAATTCAGACCATTCAAGATCCAGGTCTTATATCTCAACGCATCAAAGGGGAAGGACTAGGGGGAAAGAACAGAGGTGGTTGGGGGGGGGGACACATATTTGCTCTTGTTTTGAATACACAGAAAAGCAGTCACTTGTTGAATGTTTGCTTCATAAATTGACATGGCCATAAACACTTAGGGAAATAAAGGCCCTCCAAATCTATACTTACTACTTCACATGTATAATTTCTGACAGAGTTCTACTAATCACCTTTGAAAATACAAATATATATCTGTCATTCTATATTTTGCCTCCCTGCTACCACCTGCCTTTATGAGCAAGAACAAAAGAAGCAGTTGTGACTCATAATCCCAAAACTAAAAGTGAGCAAAGAGCCAGGCCAGCCCTTGAATTACACATTCATTTATACAAGAAGTAGCTGATAAAACTTCAAAACAAACAAATGAATTTTTTCAATTGACACATTTTGACACAGTTTTAAATTCCTCCAGCAATAACTTCCTTTATTTCATCAGCTCTCTTAATATATTTCTTCAGTATTAGTACTACCCACCTCCCAACATACAAACCAAATCATTATCCTGGTGTTAAAGAGCAAAGGATTAAAGTTTTTTCTTCAATGTGATGGATATGTTTCCTAATCCCTTTCCCCTTAGACAAGTAAAAAACAAACAAACAAACAAACAAGGTATCACATGAATGAGCCATTTGAATTCCAAATGTGCCTTTTAGTCAGGTGTAACTGTGAGCCCCTTGGACAGTATGACACTTGCTTCTTCCTCCCAGTATTACTGTTTTGTTTTCCCCACAACATTGATTCTGATTCCCAGTGTTGATTTACTCATCTTCCAGACTGACTTTTTGTGACCCACTAGCACTGACCTTTACAGAACTAAAGTAAACAGCACGTCCCACCTTTGCTTCCAAAACATCCACAGTATTTGTTCTATGGAGCTAAATTACATAACCAGCATTATTCTCCTCTGAATAGAAAGCCAAGAAACATATTTTCTACATTCCCTAACTGAGTAACTTAGACAATCCCTATGTTCCCTAAGGCACTGACCTTACCTCTTCCCTGTTTGCTTATTTTTTCTTTCTTGATCACCAACAAACAATAAACACTCCTGACAGAGAAGGTGTGCCAAGGGGTGAAGGTGGCATGTGCTACAGTTGATATCAATATTTCAGGATAGTTGTCTCCAAATCAAACCACAAAGCTTGGCCACTAGATTTAGTATTTAGAATCATAAAAAATTAGAACTGAAAGAGATATTAGGAATAATAAAATACAATTTCCTCATTTAAAAAATGTAGACAATGAGGCAATGGAGGTGAAGTGATTGCCTAAGATCATTCTACTTATCAGTGATTCTACTTAGCACTAGAACTTCATTCTTCAGAGTCTCAATGCAGTACTTATTTCATTGGAATGCCCCTCAAGTAATCATCTAATGAGAATTAAAACTGGTTTTGAGATTAATGAGCCAGGGACTGAGATGGCTGAATAAATTTAGGAGTGATATGTTCCTTAAATATCTCAGTGAAAGGTTTGGAAAGCCTTTCATTTACTGCTAGCTATATACCAATTTTTGATGAGCAATTCCATTGTCCATGGTTCCTTATAAAGATTTATACTTTAACTATGTCTTCCAAAACCTCTTTATTCTGAGTAATACACTACTCCTAAAATAATTTCACTTTTAGAAGGTGTAGTGGATACAGAGGTCTCTATATTGTAAGGAAAGAAGGAATAGATACTAGAAATGTTGGTGTAGATCTAAGAACTACAATGTCAGATGAAAAGGAGAAAGAGTTGTGTGGTAATGAGGGGAGTAGAACACAGGGTGAAGGCCACATGAGTGGGAGATGATGTGAGGATGGTTGAGGTCAGTGAGAGACACAGAGATCAGGAGGCCTGGATTCTCACCTTGACTGACCAGCATGTCAGGACTGCTCCAGACTGTGGAGCTGATGGCTTCGCCGAGTGGAGCCAGAGTTCCCAGCTCCAAATCCTGCTCCTGCCAGTAGCCTGGGGAGAGAATCTCCATCAAGGATGAGCCCTACATATACGATGTTGCAGTTTGGTATCTGAACTTCCATTGCTATATGTGGGGAAAGGTAAGCCCCTGTGAAGAGTAAGTTCACCAGAATGCCTAAGAGAAGGTGTGTTTCTTACAAAAAGGAGAGACTAACTAAAGTACTGAAAAAGGAAGTTAACTTTTCCTCCCAGGAGTGAATAAAAGGAGGATGTTAAGGTTTATCAGTCAATCTTATCATGTTGGAGCCAAAAGAGATTCTAGACATCATCTAGCCCAGTTCTCCAGCTTCACAGGTGAGGATAATGAAGCATATAAAGGTTAAACATGACATAATGCAGGTCAGTCATTACAGAGAAAATGAAAGATAACCAAAGACTTTCATTCCTTATCCAGGATTCATTCAGCTAAATGCTGTTATTTACTAAAATAAGTATAGGTTTAATAATTAGAAAATAATTTCATATTAAATGATTTTAATAAACCTGTAGAACCAGTACTCCTGTATTATCATTATTACTTTGTAGAGATGAAACAGAGTGAAGTGACTTGCCTAAGGTCATGTAAATAGAAAAGCAAAGACTACAAACTAAATATCTGATCCATATCCAAAGCTCTATTTGTTTCAGATAAGACTCTACCACTGTAGAAAGACAGACACTGCAGTGAGGGCAGAATTTATCCCCATCCTTCCCAGATTGTTACCTTCTATTGGGTGCCCAAATTCTCAAGTTTTCCTCCCTCACCCTTACTCCAATTGCCCACATTATATCACTGACTCTGCTCACTCCTCTGGCACAACAAATCTCTCTCTTCTTAGCAAGCAGCCCATAAACAGTTTTGTGACTGCAGAGTGTCAAGGGTCTATTTCCCCAATTCAATTTAAGGGGTGGAGGGACAAAGAAATAGTCCAAATTAATCTTTTAGGGTCTCCAGCCATAAGCCCAGAAATAACTAATCACAGTGCACAAAATTCAGTGAGGTCACAGGTTGCTGAGCAGAGTTCTGAGCTGGTACCCATCCAGACCCGAGTTCAAGAAAAACTTCAGTTGTGGCAGTGTGCTTGCTTGAGAGGGGGCTGGGTGGAAGAAAAAAGACAAGAAGTGGGCAGCACTGGGACTGAGAGGAGATGGGGTAAAACGACAGAGTGGCAGGGGTGCTGGACTAAAAAGCTAAGTGGCATATGGGTTCAGGGTCCATGGAGAAAAGAGAGAAAGAGAATTGTAGAATCAGAAGGGAAAGAGGGTAAAGGGAGAATGAGGAGGGAGGAAGGGAAAGGGGTTAAGGAGAGAGAGGTAAAGACAGGGGAGTTGGAGAGATTTCTTGTGTCTGAATATGACTCTGAGAGATAGTTTCAGGGCTTTTCAGGCCTTCACAGAGATGCTCTCTCTCTGGAATTCCTAGACATGCCATTGGAGATTTAGAAATTACTCTGTTCTCAAACAGAAGTTTTGATGGCCAAATGGGAAGGGCAGTAAAAACAGAGAAAACAGAAAATCTCTAACAGGTAGAAAGAAGTAAGCACAGAGGGGATGGGGAAAATGTTAATAAAGAAAGGCAGCAAAGATGAGGGAGGGCAAAACAGAAAGGTGGCCTTGAGAGGACAAGAACTCTCCCATTCAACAGGGTCCCTCCCTGGGTGCTAGACTTTAACCCTGCTGCTTTCTGTGAGTGTCAAGGATGAAGGCAACCTGAAAGTTGGTGACTGTTTCATATTATTTTTCAGGATGTGTATTAGTGGGTACACTGCTTTAACATGAAGTAGGAAGTCAAATAGTTCTGCTAAAAGTTTGGAGTGGTAGAGGGAAGGGAGGAGCCAGAGAGGGTCAGTGCTCAGCCCACAGTATTGGAACACAGTGCACAAAGTAATCACTAAACAGGACTTGCTCAAATGAACAGAGGAAATAGCCATCTCATAACTTGGTATAGGAGTTTCAGTTTTCAGACTCTGAATTCATCGAATGACAGAACAACCTTGAGAGATAAGCAACCAGATATAATTACTTTTTAGAGATGAGGTTTAGAGAGGTTCAGGGACTTAGCTAAAGGCACAGAAATGGCATACCTGTCCAGGATCCTCTTTCTCTGATGGTGTCCTCAAAAGTTTTCAACAGCTTTTTGTTTCTTATAGTATTTCAGCCCATGTGTTCCACTCAGTTGTTAGTTATCAGTCTCCTTATTTAAACTTTGAGTTCCTTAAAAGCATGGGCATTACCTTGCTCATCTTTGTATTTTTAGCATTTAGTCCATAGAGGGCTCAGTACATTTAATTGGTCTGGTAATTCATTCCATCACAATTGGCACTGTGCTATGTCTATCCCTAATCAGGCTGTGTGTATTCTGTCCAACAGAATGGATTTAGTTTTCACTCTCCTGCTCCTTCTTTCATCTGTGCTTTTTATCTGCATTCTCAGTTCTGTTCTCCTTGCTTACATTCATTTCATCCCTTCCCTCATGCATTTTGCTGGCATTTTTTTCTGCATAGGGTGAATAAGTGAAATGGTGATGCAAGTCATTCAAACCAAACTAAATTGTTCAGGTGAGGGGACTTATAATTAAACAAATGATCTCCAATAAATGTCATATTTGTAATATACATGGTATATTATCTCTCTAGGCTTACAGTGAACTCTAGTTTGTAGTGTTTCATGAAACTGCTTTAAGAGGTAACTTTTATTTTCCCCTGTGGGGGTGACATCTCTTCCCTAATTTAGAGAAGTACTTAAGTTTTCTTTCTATTTTTGTAAAATTATACACCCATAATTATAAATTCTAAATGGCCACTCTGTGGAATCAGATGAGTGACTATAACTGTATCAATAGAAACATGAATAAGTAGAAGAAATTATTACCTGTGTTGTGAAAGGCTAGTGCCTTCTTTGCATTTAGATCATGACACCACTTCTGACATCAGCGCAACAATTCCATGGATGGATTCAGAATGGAAAGGAAAACTTAAAAGAGTGCCCTGAAAGGGCCACCTGGACTTTGAAGTGGAAATAGTGAAAATTCTTCTCAGTATGGGTCCTCAGAGGGAAATTCAGAAATTGAGACCACAGGGCCATTAATGAGGGAAGTCCCCTCATGTAAAAGAAAAACAAATGAGAGACTTCAGGTCATATTGGTCATATTGTTTTCCTGCTCAGAAACCTTCACTAACTTCCCGTTGTCTACAGATCACATCCAGATTTGTTAGACTGGACTTTTAAGATCCTCTACAGTCTGAAGCCAATGTGCCTTTCAACTTTGTCTTTACTTCACTCACCCCATATCCCAGATATATGACTCTATTTAGAATTCTTTCTGTAACCCCTTTGCTTTCTTGCATACATCCTTTTTCCTGTAATAACTCCATTGATAAAGCCTTTCACCCATCTTCACACATCCAAGCCCTATTCACCCTTAAAGCCTATTTTCTGTGGCATCTCCTTCAAAAAGTCTTCCCTATTTGACCCAGGTGAAAATAGTCCTCATTTCCCTGAGTTACAATAATTATCTGCCTTCCTTAAATTGTGCATCACTCTACTTCATAATGCACATTTGGCTTCCCTCCCATATTACACAGCTCATGCAGGTGGGATTGAGATCTAATTTATTTTTGAATTCAGTACTGGCCCTAATACAGCATGTTACACTTAATAAATATTTATTTAATAAAGAAAACAAAGTTGCTGAGCATTTTCTACTGTGAGAACTAAGCTTAACATCTGCCAGCAAAGAGGCAATAGTAAATGAAACATGGTAAGAATAGGCCAAGAAAGAGGGTTGCCCATCCAGAGGCTGAAGCTCTAGAAGTCCACAAGATATTGGGAATCAATATTTATTGATCACCCTTTGTTTCAAGGTTCAAGTTAGGTGCTCTAAATTCATTACTCCAGAACAACCCTTTTAATAGGTATTATTATATACATGTTAAGGATGAGTTAGCTAAGACTTAGAGATTAACTAAGGCTCAGAGAAGCCAAGTAACTTATCCATATGATGGCCTCAGTAAGTTTTGAGATGAAAACAGCTCTAAAATTAAATTTCCCTGACCACAAAATCCAGCCTTTTTGCACATTATCACTACACTGCCTTCTCTTGCAAAGCATTCATTTTGTGTCTGTCATTGTGGTGCAGGGATTATGGGGGAAGATCCCTTTCTGCATTGCTGGCCAAGAGTGGTTCACTCAAACAGTATTCACAACACTCACTTGCAATGTGATTTAAAAACAAAACAGTTGTAGCAAGGTGAAAATAGGTGCTTGTGGTGGTAATGGTGCAGATTGTACCCACTGTATTGCATTTTTAATTAAAGTTATTAATAGATGTTTATCTATACCTTGGGTGGCTATTTCATGCAGTCTTAAGAGTCTTACAAAGTGGGACTCAAGTTAACAAAGCTACATATGTGTTCAGTTAAAACTAGTGGAATCCCCTCATGTTTTCATAGCAAACTAGCACCTATAAACTAATATTTCTTCCTGTTTGCCTTCAGTGGCCTTGTAGGTTCTTAATTTTTGGTTTATTTACCCATGTGTCTTTAGGACTCCCAGCATTTTAAAGAACAAAGCAATTCAATTCACTAATTCCCTTCCAATGAGTTGTTCATATTAAGAGCAGCAGAGGTGGGATTTGGAGACTTACTAAGATGCCTCCTTTAAGCAAGCATTGGCACCTGTGATTCACTTTTTCACTCATAGCCCAGGACCTTGCCCATAGTAAGTGCTCAGTAAATATTTATTGAATAAATGAATGAGTGACTCAAATTAATAAAAATGTATTATGTCTCCAATTTAAGTGATGCTTAAATTAAGTAAGAAAGTTTATGTGCCAGTATGACTTCTGATTACAGAGTTTTTATAAATTTCTTAGTCTGTTTTGGGAATCTAAGGTACCTTGGCCTGAGGGTCAGTGTGCACAGATGCACATTTAGGTTGGTGGGGTAAGGGGACAGAATGCTCCCACATAACTTCTGCTGTTCATGCCAGTGCTTGGGTCCAGAGCCCCACTT